TTTTTTATTACTTTTATTACGTTATAATCGGATGAATTTTGAGAAACAATCTGTTTAAAATTTAAATTTTTAATGATCATATATTACCGAAATTATATTCCTTTTTTATTATTCTCCACATAACAGGGCAGAAATACTTAAATAATTTAATATTAAATATTATTTAATATTAATTGGAAAAGTTATTTATTTAATAAATTTAAATATTATTTATTTTCTCATGATCATTCTTTATGGTATTGTGTCCAAAATTGTTATAATTTACTTATATTAAATGGGAATAAATCAAAAATGTTTATATCGTAAATAGATTTTAAAATTGGTTGTAAGATTTGAAATAATTATTTTTTTTTTATGAGGAATATAAGTTCTATTATAACTATCAGTAATAGTCCTTCGACTTTAAATAGTTCATTAAAATTATTTATTATAATAATATTTTTTTTTTAAATAACTACAAAAAATAACTGGTTTGGTTGTGGAGACTACATTATTCGTCAAAGATTTTAATAAAGTGATTTAATAATTAGTTTCATTCAGGTTAAAAGTTATTTAAAAATTTTAGCTTTTAAAAATTTTCACTTTTATAAACTTTAACATTAACATTAACTTTAATATGTTTAATTTTTGTTAAAATCTGAATTAATTTTTAATTGTTCTAAGAAAAAATTGTAATCCAAAGGAAAAATATTACTTCTAAAGCCACTAACGCTTGTAATAAGAATGAGATAATACACATAAATAAATGCAAAACTAAATATGGAACCATATATTCAGATTTATATTATATAGAAAGTAAAACTAAACAAAAAAAAAAGAAATAAATTTTAAAATATTTTATGAATGGAATTTTATTGTTTGAATTTTTATTTATTTTTAGTGAAAAAATATAAAGCAATATAGGCAAACAGGACAAAGGAAATGGGGTGGGAACCTTGCCCACGTATAACATTTCCTAATAAAAAGAATAGGATTAAGCAAGTTTCCGGCTTGTTCAGAATTACCCCTCAATTTCTCGATTTCATTGCTCGTTTTTGTTCGTCAGTTTTTATAAAGGAGAATTTTCCAAATGTGGCCCACTCTGATCCACTTTCTGGATATGCTCATAAATATTAGATTGGGTTTAAAAAATATTAAATATTATTAGTGAAATTATTGCTTTGCTTAGGAATACATATACACTGTGTTAGCACTTATAGCGCCGGCTATAAGCGCTACAAGGGACAACTGAAAAAATTAATAAAAAACATTAGAAAAAAATGCTGTAACGATTTTATGAAATGCAGTTCGTACTCCACTACATTATAACATAAGTAATATATTTATAATAATATAATTTAAATCAATATTATTAGTACATTAGTACAAAAAAGAAATGTTCTGCAGTAAGGTAGGCTCTTTATGTACAATGCCTCTTAATATTTTGCAGTCCTACTGAATATAAAATAAATATCTATCAGATAAAAAAGAAGACATTTATTTTATATAAATCATCTAGACAATTATAGCTAAACGTTATGATCGGTATTTCTAGAACAAATAGACTCATTTTTCAACTAAAAGCCGGTAGTTCGTTATTGAAGGCGCGAATGAAGGTTTGATCCAACTTGCGTTCGGATATGTAAATACCTGACTCCACACAATCTTAGAACTAAGATTTATAATAGATTCATTTCCAATTAATAATTTTACGACAGTCCATGTTTACGATAAATTCATGATCAATAAATGCGTGTAGTTCATCACACTAATACCAATTGTTTTATTGAGAACTAAAGAAATACTCCGATAACTACAATATAGGAAATCTGTTAAGGAATGTAGGATAAACTATTATCTATAACCGCAAAAAACGTATTTGTCCGACATTGATGTACAAATAAAAGTCATTTACTTCAGTAAAGTAGGTTCGATTCCTGTATTCACTTTATGAATCAATGAATGGAGCACAATAATGTTTCTACAGGCTTTGAAAGTGGAAAGTATTTGTTTGTAATAAAGGAAAAAGATATGTACGTGTTGTGATTTAGTTTTTGAAATTAAACAATAATATATCATTATAAATGAATACCCAAGAAATGGGTGGTTATCTTCAAAAATGGATGTACTAGTTTAGTTAAACATTGCTTTGTATAGTTAGAAGTTAGATATAGTGTCAGCATAACAGAGTATGAATTGGATAATCATCGAGTAAGAATCATAGAGCTTACTAAGTCTTTGAGTATATGACTGTATTCAGAACGCTACTTCTCTGTTGCAATAAATTACGGTATTTTGAATACTACTTCTCTCATATAATGAGATAAGAAATAAGAAATAAGAAATAAGTAAGGTTAAATGGATATATAGTTAGAGTTGCGGGTAAAAAATCTAACTGAATCACAAGTTCATTTTCATATCTAATAAATAGCACGTAAATAATTATTATGTCTTAAATGAAGCGTTAAGTCTTAGATGTACCTATAATCTGATACTAGCATCATAAATTCAGAGCTTAATTATAATGCATATATTATATATAGTATTTCTTTCTTTCAAAATTTTTAATTTTGTAAATTAACAAAAATAAAAAACAATGCAATTTTTTTCTTAAATGTTACTTATCGCGTTGGCAATTGGTTGGTGACATTTTAACCGTTAGAGTTGATAAATGCACTTCTTATCAAATAACCGAATGCATGGAAGATCAGGTTAGAACTGCATATAGATTAGCACAATATTTCTTAGTATAAAAACTCATGGAAATCAATAAAGATCGCACACTTTATTCTAGAGAGTCAAAGCATTATTTGAATTAAGCCAGACATGTTGGACTTAAGTGGTAAAAATGTTGTTTATGTGGGTGGATTCAGTGGAGTTGGCTATCAGGTTTGCCGTATTCTGATGCAGAAGAAGATCAGTGTATGCATCTATTGTTCAAAGTGATTATCGGAACGAATTGAAAATATAATTGTTTTTCAATTACAGCATTTATTTGTCTGCAGTCGCATGGAAAATATGGAATTATTAAAGGTATTACAGGATATTGCACCTACGGTTAATGTAGTTTTTGTAGGTGTTAATATTTTGAATCGAGTAAGCATTGAGAAGGCTGTTGCGCAAATAGTTGGAGTAGTAAAACATATTGATGTCTTAATAAATGGTGTTGGTGCTTTGGCTGATAAGGACGTTGAGACCACAATTGGTCTTAATTTGGTAACAGCATTTTCCAGCACTAATAAACAATACTGAGTATCATTTTTTTATATCACACAGGCTGGCTTAATTAACACCACATTTGCTTGTTTGCCTTACATGGATAAAACTCAAATGGGTCATGGCGGTGTTGTGGTGAATATTGCTTCAGTATTTGGCTTAGAACCTGCTACCCCATTCGCAGTATATGCCGCTGCTAAGCATGGTGTAGTTGGATTTACGCGTTCTATGGGCGAATCGCATTACTATCAGAAAACAGGTGTTTGCTTCGTTTGCGTCTGTCCTGGTCTCACTTCAACAGAATGGATGGTTAATTTACGTGAAAATGTAACTTGGGAGCATCATTCAGATGAATGGTTGAATCTTGTAAGTGATTCTAAACATCAGACTCCAGAAGAATGTGCTAATGGTGTAGTCAAAGCTGTAGAAGTGATGAAAAATGGTGGTGTCTATATTTGTCAATCCGGACAAATTAAGGAAGTTCAGCCTACAACTTATTGGCATATGCAATAACATAATTATAGAAAAAGTTGTATGATTTTAAATAAATGGTGATGAATTAATTATTGCATTGGGCTATATCACTATTTTTAGTTATGTTCAAAATTTAAATAAAGTCAAATAAGTTACTTCTGATATTTAATACAAACATGTGCTGTTTATTAATATAAATCAATAAATAAGTCTGAGGCACGAAAAAAATTCAGTTTATACATAAACATATTGTCAGGAGAATCTAAACTGCGTTTTGCTGACTTTTAGAATCACTCTCATTTCATAGTTACTAGATGTGAAAAATTATTGCTGTGATCCAACAACAGATCGTAGATCTTCCGTAGATCGGTAACTACAAAGAATTGTACGGATTTGTTGGCCTTAACTTATATTAAATTCCGATCTGTTGGCTCGCGTACAATTCAAATACAAGAAACAAAAAAATTCGGCTAGGCAAGTGTTGGGGCAAAACCATATCGGCCAGGTGTTCCAGCCTTAACTTGCAGAAAACAATAGACCACGAGCTAAGTATAGACTATTTCTAGAATTATATCATTTTCCATTTATATAAAAAATAAAAACGAACTTACAAATGATGTTTTGTGTGATTGATTTGTACCGTGCATTAGTTAAGTTTTTGATTCTAGATAATAAATTTGTTACCATTCTCACTAAGTCACACTTGCAGTTGTGTTTTTCAATAATTTATAAAAAAATTTGTAATTTCTAATACAAATTATAATTATATCATAAGAAAGTACATTTCGGAAGTTCGTTTCTCTCTAGATCTTTCAAAATATACATGTTTGATCCCTTTGGACGTTCTTTATTAACTATCGTTTTGATTTCAGTTTATAGTTGAGGAACCAGATTACAGCTATCATTACATATTTGTATGTAATTTGTACATTTACGATTTTTAAAAACCATATTATACACTTTCTTGAATCTGATTGTTCTACATCGGCAAAAATGAACAGTCAAAATGCTTTAGGTGTGGCAATCGCAATCTGTCACATATGTTTTCAAAGTTGCAGAATTGTATTCTGAAGTCCTCAGGTTTTGAACATTAAGTTCTTCTTATAATTAGAGTTGGACTTCTCGTTTACAAGAATGGGGAAACAACACATTTTACAGCACCGACGATAAATAAAGAGTTTTAAAGAATAGCCAATTACAAAATCAGGAACTTATAACGAAATACTTTTTGAGTTCGTTTTGTTGGTTTTTAACATTAAAGACGAATTATATAGTTAAGATTTTCTAATGTACTTATTCAAAAATAAATTGTATTTATTTCACCAAAAATTATTTCCATATCTTATATAAAAATCCATATATTAACAAAATAAATTATTTTATATAAATCATTCAAAGGTCGGAGTCCACACTACAGGAAATTCCAATTCCTTCAATGTACCCAAATCAATTAACCAGACAGAACCATTTTTACCAGACTCAACAGCTTTAACTAAGCCTTTAGCACATTCCGTAGCTGTTTGTTTCTTAGCTTCGGCAAACCGCTTGAGCATGGGTTCACACTTTTCAAAAGTTGGATTGTTGTATGCAACTCCTAATAAATTGGTTTCTGTGAAACCGGGGCATATTGTAATAAAGCCTATACCAGTAGTATGATAATAGAATGGATTCTGAAAAACATGAAAAAATCAGAAATGGACGCGATTATTAAAATCTATTAAAACTTACCGCTAAGCCACGGGTAAAAGCGCTAACTCCAAATTTACTTGCTGAATATACGGCATACATGCCAGCTGGTTCTATGCCAGCTACAGAGGATATATTAACAATAAGTCCACCTTTGCCATTATTTAATTTACTCATATATTTCATAGCAGTTAATGTACTGTGTATTAGCCCCAACTAAGTGTTGAAATATTAAGAAATAGTTCTTATGAAAAGATTTTATGACTTACTAAATTAATTTGTATAGTCAGTTCGATAAGACTATCATTCATAATGCCACACCCATTCACTATCACATCAAAGTGATCTATTTTATTTGCAGCTTCATTGTATGCTGCTTCAATGCTATTTTTATCGGTAATATCCATTTTTATATAAAAAACATTAGATGCCGTATAGGTGCTCCTCAAATTCTCCAGCACAGCTGCATTTTCGTGCAAATCAAAAATCGCCAAATTCTTTTAAAAAAATATGTCAAGAGTTACTTTCTTATAAATAATTCTTGGCGTATATAATACCTTTATGCCTTTCTGTAGAAATTCTTCAATACATTTGGAACCAATACCACCGAAGCCACCCAAATAAACAACATTCTTGCCACTTAAATCCATTTTGTAATATCGCTAGAGCAATTAGTCGATGCAAAAGTTAACCAACGTATAATCGCACTGCCTACCACTTAAGAAATATTTTGGTAAATTTTATGTTATTTGTGCAAAAATATATTATCTTGTTTTGGAGAGCTTGAGTTTAGCATTGACTTCTGATAAGCTTTGAAAAGCTACATACTACAGAATAACCAAATATATCAAAATATTTGTAATTTATTTAAATGATCAACTCAGTGATCTGTGTTTTCCGGCAGTATTATTGGTTTCTTAGAGCGCAATAAATACGAACTATATATATTATGTATAGAGTGTTAGAAAATTTATAACTTATTATTTATATATTCAGTGTTTTGGTATGATAAAGACGTTATTTATATTACTCCTACTTCTATTCGATTTTAAATGCTGTATAAGCAATATGAAGAATCTAGAATTTTGTAGATTAAGAATTTAAGCTGCCGTTGAACAGTACATGTGGCGTGACTAGTTTAATCTAATGTTGGAAACGATGATCCGTGCAGCAAATTTAAACCGCACTGGCACAACATTCTACAAAAGTGTGTTGCTGGCCTATACACCCGCACCGTCAGTGTGGCATTTTCCAATTTAGAAAAACAAGCGAATCAAATGGATCTTGCCGTTAATGAAGACAAAATAAAGTTAATAACCAAGTTGTAAAAGACTTTGTTTATTTGAGAACCAGCGTAAACACCAATACTAACGTCAGCCTCGAGATTCAACAAAGAATCTCTATTGGCAATAGATATTATTTCGGGTTAAAAAGCCAATTGATAACTAAAGCAGTCTCTCGACAAACATAAATCAAAAATCACGCTCTATAAGTTTCTTATCATTTTTCTCCTGCTGTATGATATAGAAACTTAGACAATTACCAACAGTGATGACAAGGCGGTAGGAGTATTCGAGAGAAAAATTCTTTGGAAGATCTATGGTCCTTTACGCGTTGACAACGACTATCGAATTAGATGGAACGATGAGCTGTGTTACTTACACCGCAACATTCACAAAGTTAAGTGCATAAAAATTCAACACCTGCTCTGGCTTTGTTATGTCGTCCGTATGGAAGAAAGTGTTCCGGCTAGAAAGGTATTTGATTCAATACCTGCAGGTGGAAAACGTGGTAAAGGACGTCCGCATCTTCGATACAAGGACCAGATGTCCAAGAATTTGGGGGTACTCGGCACTACTAACTGGCGACAGCAAGACCCTGATTGATCTGGCTGGTGGAGGCTATTAGACGCGGCCAACGACGATTCACGTCTATAATGGTCAATTAAGTAAGTAATATGATTAGAAGATAATTGAATAAGTTTTTCAAAAGAAAGAATATTGTATATTAACATACTATTTATGTCATATTTAAGACTAAAAAATTAAAACTGTATAAAATATCATATATTTTTTATATCTCAACATAGATTGTTTCATATTTATAATATAGTAGATATTGCTTTGCTGCCTATGCCGATTGATTGAGGTTGAGACATTGTGGACTACACATGAAGCTTTTGCAGACATAAGCGAAAAAATAATAGTGCGACAAAATGCAGATACAAAATTTATTTAAAATTCTGCTGAAATCGACGATATTCATCAAGAACGGTTTTTATAGTTTAGTAGATTTTTTTCTGATGAATTGTTGAATGTATAAATAAGTAATTTATTTTTTATGAATTGAAATGAAACAGTAATATAAAAATGTTTATTTACCTTATATTTTGTATAAATGTATATATTATAAATATATTCCGAAAATGTCAATAGACTAAGTAGTAGCAAGATGTTTTGTATATTTTAAGCTGTGCTTCAGATATATGTATCTATAGTAAATACAGTAGACTCATGATAACAAAAACATTGTCTATTTAGCAATTTATAAGGAAAAAATTGTACTGCCCTGGACGAATATTATTGGTTCAAGTGCTTAAATAGAGAGGTAAGTGAAGACTTTCACTTACATTAAAACAATGTATATATTTTGAATTAAGGCTTTGGATTGGATTAAAGATGAAAATTAAAGTTTTATTTTTGGTTTATTCATTAATCATTAATTTGTAAATTTATTAATATTTCAAAAGCTCATTAATATATTGTAACTTTCGAAATATGAATAATATCACTACTAAACTTCATGGTTCTTGGTTTTAACAGCTCATGTTATCGAGAGCCTACTATAATATACACAATACACTGGGTAAAACCATTTTAAGGACTGAGAGCTTGTAGTTTTGGATCTCATGAGTGGAGTTATATTTAAATACAATATATGATGAATAGGCAAATAGTGGCATCATGGTATCTGCGGAATGTCGTTAACAGGGGGTTAGGTTTTTGAAGGGTTTGATGGTATAGCTTTTGGAGAGATCACTGATTCAGAATGCAGATTTCCATTTCTTTTTGCAAGAAGTTATGATTTTGGGAATTTCTTAATTCCAGTTTCTTACGTAATTAAGTTTCTTGTGCCAACTTATTTCTTGACTCATATTGTTTATTTTCTCTTTTAATATCATTTTGATAATATATTAAAAGATCATTGAAGAAGCAGAAGTGGTACTTTTTTGTAGCTAAAGATTCATGGTTTACTTTTTTTTTGATTATTCAGCGCTATTTAACAAGAGAACCTAATAATATATATATTTTTACTATAATTATATATGATTAACAACTCTATTTAAGCGATTCTATTTCGCCAATATCTTTAGCTTGTAAATGTTTGAAAATTAATTTAAAAAAAATGTATTAAAACTGAATGATATATCAAAATTTAAATATATATATTCTCACCAATCTACATACACGTATATTAGAGTTTAGTTTGTTAATTGTCACTCATACCGGCAGTAGCGTAATTTTCTTAGGTTAGTACGATTGTCGCAATCTCATAAGCTTTTAAAAAAGTTTAGATAATATTTCTTGTGGTTAAAGTATTATTTATTTTTAGACAGGTTTATGTTACACTTGAAAGGCAATAAATAAATAAATATGGTCCGATTCTTGATGTTGAAAATGAATACTAATTACACATGATTATATTTTGCAATTCTAAATTCTAATAAAAGTTTTGGTTCTAAAAAGTAATAAAATAATTCACTTTAACAGTTATTTTATTAAATAATTCTCTTTCTATTGACTGATTATAATTCGTAAATTAATCTCAAATATTAATCTTAAAATTCTTTTTTATAGCATCGATAGCGTTTATGGAATATTATAAGTATAATCAGGTGGGGCCAAAAGTATTATTAAATTCTAATAAATATGTTGGAAAGAATAATTTGCAATAGTGATTATGTACAACTTTAATGTGAATTTTAAATACCAATTACTTCAACTAATACTTCAACTAATAAGTCCTACTAATTACTTATGATCGAAACTGCGGTTATATATGCTAAATATAGATAAAGTTATCAATGCATTTTATTCGATTTAAACTATTTGTTAGTATGTATCGTAAAAATATAAAAATTGCTCTAATGATATAAATATATCATTCTGTATGTTCTATGAAAATTGGTTGTTTATTTGTATGGTGTCCAGACCTCCAATTGGAGTGCAGTCCATATATATATGATATATCCATATATATATGATATATCCATATATATATGATATATCCATATATATATTATACATCCATATATACATGATAAATATGATGTATGATGACAATACTTAGCTAAAAATTCATCTGCTTCAGCTATATTTTCAAATTGTGATGCTATAGTAGAATACTTGATGGCAATTAGTTTGAAATTTATCTGTTAGCACTACATTTCTAACTTTTTATTTAGAACCGGTTCATCTTCATTAGAAATCGGTATTTGATGATGGTATTTGATTTTTAATTCATTTGCAGGTAAGGTATTTTAAAAATTTCTGTCTGTACCGGTATAAATTTCTCCATCACTATTTTCATTTTCGGTTTCGAAATCATCTGGTGGGGATTTATGTATGGTAGTGTCATGAAATTGATATCACATAAATAGTCTTCTGCTTATTGAGTATGTTATTTCATATATAAGAGGTGATTTTGGTAGGTTCAAATCTTACAGGGCGATCTTTAAAGCATTTCTGCTATTAAAAAAAACTGCAAAAAGTCTGCAGAAAAAAAGTCAAGCGTTATTTTGTGGAAAATGCTAAGTTCACGAAAGACATGGGTTTCGGAATATGTCTTAAATTTAGAGTATTTAGAGTATTTTAAAAAGTGAAGAGCAGTAGAAATATATAGAAAATATTTGCATTAATTATACAGGATCATTAATATATAGCTAATTTGTATTTAAGGAATATCAATGATTTTTGTAATTTATATTTTTACTATCTTTATTTATTTCTTAAGTAAGAAATTATCAATACTTTTTACATTTTACATACTTTTTAAAGATTACCATTTGTACATAATTAAAAATTTGAAAAAAAAACTCATCTTATTAAAGTGTTAAATAAGAAACCAGATAGTTCTTTAAAAGATCCCTAAGGGTTTGAAAGATATCACGAAAATTAATCAATCAATTCACGGATGTTTATATTTTAAATATGTGAAGAACCACTGGGGAGGTTTTAAATCAATGATTTATGTTTGCTATTCTATGTTATGATTTCATAATTTTTCCAGATTTATCATCGATGATTGAGCCTCAAAGGCTTTTTATAGTTTATAGTTTATCATTCTTTTTGTTTTATTAGTATATATATTATTAGTCTATTATTATTAGTATATAGAGCTAAGAAAGTCTCCAATATATATATGTATATATGGATGTTTTTGGAGTGTATTGAAAATAAAATTAGATTAAGACAATTTATTTCCTAACTTAAATGCATATATCATTTTCATTATTGCTTCAGACAGAGTAATGAATTTCAAAATATTATTTTTGTTTATTTTCTGTCATACGTTTACATAGTTGGGTGCTTGCCAACGATTAAACTTGTTTAGATTTCAGAAAACCACTAAAGTCTAAAGTCTTGACAACTGAAACTCTTAAAAACAAACATTGAGTAAATTGCATGCACGTGCTACTCCTCTGCCCTTTATTGAATCCATGGCTTGATATCGATACTCATCGATATGTGCCAAATACTATTTGGTTTGTTGCTCAATTGTTTGTTTCGTATCAAATTTCAATTTATTTATTTTTTAAAAAATAAATAACGACATTACTTTTATTTTAAGGGGGCTTCGAATTGTACATAATGTGTTACAGACAGATGATTGAAGGAATGAGATATTAATTAGATATATTATTCTAAAACCCCTTAGTTATTATGGAAATACAAGGAAGATTTCATAACCAGTCTGTTATACATATAAAATTTATAAAGCCTTTCCCTCATGTTCTCTTAAATCAATTCAAATCCTAGATTATATAGTTAAACTCGAGATATGTTAGCGTAATAGTCTTAACTGGCCTCATCTTTATACACTTCACTGCAGTATAATGAAATATTTGACAGGAATGTTTAAATATTTAAATACAATTCTGCGTTAATTAAATATTAGCTTCGTGTCGTTCTGCATAATTAGGCATCCATCGAACCAGTCTACGGCATATAATCTTTAATTATTTAAAGCTATCTCTGTGCAGCTCGTGTTACAATCGATTTTTAAAGTCATTGTTCCTCGATTGCTTGATATCAAATAATGGTGATTTTGATTGGCCTCCGCATTCGCCTGATTAGCCACCGCCAAAATTTTTTTTTGACTCTACTTTAAGATAAATATTAATATCAACAAGATAAATCCACTGGATCAATATTCGCCATGAAATAGTCATCATCGCGGCCGAAAAATTGGTATATACGATCGAAAATGTCAAATCATGGGCACAGTACTCTATTCGAGCTCTATTGCTGTACTAATAATATCTTCTGTGCAGGTATGTGGACCGGTTAGGGACTATAACAGAGAGAAAAGTATCATCTATAATTATTAATACATATAGTATAAAGTTAATACCCATGTAATATTAAAAAAGGTTATAAAGACGCAGAAGTTAGTAGAGTTCTGTGTTCTGAGTGAAAAGGAACAGCATATGGAATAAATCTTTAATGCTAATAGCTAGAGAGTTAACAGCTTACTACCACCAACGAATACCTAGTTTGTTACGGTTTTAAGAAATTATTTTAATATTTTTATAGACAGTTTTGTTCTTTAAGATCGCTATATGAGAATATTTTGCCATACAAAGGATTTTCACATAAATGAGCCTCATTATAAAAAATCAACTCATTTAATAGTGTGTTTCCACTGGTTAATTCCTAAGTGTAATGTACTAAGGACGTGTGTGAGATAGACTAAGGTCGTGTGCGAGTTAGGCTAAGTTGCGTTCTAAATGAGGGAAATACTAAGTTGTGCCGATAATGTAGTGATGTGTCGATACGTGTTGATAAATGGCTAAATGTGTGCAGTGAAAAAAATCCCAAAAAACTTCCCATTTGGTTTAGCATCAACTTAGCCTAACTCGCACACGTCCTAAGTTGCGTTCTAAATGAGAGAAATTCTAAGTTGTGCCGATAATGTAGTGATGTGTCGATTCGTATTCATAAATGGTTAAATGTGTGCAGTGCAAAAAATCCCAAAAAATCTCCCTTTTGGTTTAGCATCAACTTAGCCTAACTCGCACACGTCCTAAGTAAATTTTATTAACCATACAAAGAGCTTCAGTGCTTTTTAACTTACTTAGAAATAAAGTAAGAAAATTATAATAAAAATGTCGAATACAACCCTTAAAAATTTCCCATAAGGGAAATTACTAAAATTTGAAATATTTGTCATATGTTTTATTTGTAAAATGTAAATAAACAAGAAATCTTTTGCATAAATCAACTCATGCCACTGGAAACAATCAAATGTTAATTTCATTAACATAAGTTGTTTTCGTTGCAGTGGAAACATGATATCACGCTAAAACTCTCGATTTCTGAGATAATACCACTTAGTTTTTAACAAAATCAATACTTTCACGGAACGGTTAATGTTAACCCCTTAATAAAACTAAATATTATATTTACAAATATGAAAATATGAAATTCACAATTACAAATTTCAAAAATGCTGACTTACTTCCGCTCAAATGATTATTTATATTTGGTCTACTACATTGTAATTGATATAATCCTTTGGTATTTCGTCATATATGTTGTTTAACTAACTGAAGTAAAGCATAACTTAGTCATGTCATTATGTCATAGATTTGATATTTAATATTTTGAAGTTTATTTGTAGGTGTTCGCTTTGAAGTGTCTCATATCAGTTTTCTGCAGACTTGCAGAACAAAGTCATACGTATATTTCCATACGTTGGGTTCGTTGCAATAAAGGCTTAAATGTGGAAGTATGGAAAGCGAAATATGGGTAAAATGATATTTTCTGTGTACTTTGTGGAATATAAGATAACAAGAAGCACTTGTTGGTCTCACTTGAAATGGAATTTCGAGGTCAGCTGCTTAAGCAGACGGCGCTTTGAGATTGAATTGCAAAGGTATTGACAGTACTATCTACACCAATAGATTGACATGCACCGCAAACATCTCTTATATTGCCTCACATTTAAGCTCTTGAGGAACAATATTAAAACAATGGTACCTAACTGTTAGTATAAATAAACTAAGTCGTAACAATGTGATCATTAGTTTTATTCCATAAGCTTAGAGAATTGTATGCAGTAGAAAAAACTATTAATTTAATATCATAATAAAAATATAAATATAATATAAAAAAAAAATAAAGGATCGGAATTAAATTGTACACCTGCTTACCAAAACGGCTTAGGCTGATAACGATCATGACATTATTATTCGTTCTAATGTTTGCTACCTTAGCGGCAGCTAGAAATATTCCTTTGCACTACACAACGGGTGAATCAAAAATTATACTCTTAAATAGCCCACTTACGGCCACGACACAATATTCAAATCAGGACTCACGGGGATTTTATTCATATGGTTATAGTGATGATAGTGCAGCAAAGGCTGAATATACTACCGTGGATGGTTCATCAAAAGGATTTTACTCGTATATAGACACAGATGGAAAGCTGCAAACTGTAAGTTATGAAGCTGGTCGATCTCTTGGTTTCAAGGCAGCAGCAACAAATCAACCACAAGCTCCAATTGATGATAGACAAGCTCCAGCTCCTGTAAAGGATACACCGGAAGTAGAAATGGCGAAAAAAGCACATTTTGATGCTTTTCGTCAAGCAGAAATCAGAGCTTCTTTAGAACCCGACTCGCAAGAGCAAATATCCAATGAATCCGATGGTGATGGAGGTGATGAGCAAAGAACTACATACACTGATGAAGAAATTCAAGCAGCCAGAGAACAATTGGAAGCTATGCTAGCAGCACAGAATCGAGGCAAAGGTAAGGGTGAAAGCTCAGTTCAATTACAGAATGAAAGTGAAGAAATGGAGAATGCCGAAAATGTAGAACAACAACAAAAGAACATCAACAACAAAAATGCAGCTATGTCAAATGGACATGCCCAATTTCAACAGCAAGAGTTACAACAGCAACAGTTACAGCAGCAACAACAACAATTACAGCAACAACAACAATTAAAACAGCAGCAACAACGACAACAGCAACAACAAAGACAACAGCAGCAACAGCAACAACAGCAACGATTAGAGCAACAACAGCAACAACAAAAACAACTAGAGCAACAACAGCAACAGCAACAATTACAACAACTAGAGCAGCAGCAACAGCAACAACAATTACAACAACAACAGCAAGAGCAACAACAGCAGCAAGATCAACAGACACAACAACTACAAGCACAACAATTACAAACGAACGGATTTGCGAGACTAACGGATGCTGATCTCAATTTACGCACCATTTACAGTCTTGAAGATGATAAGTCAAGCAGCGTTTTAAAGCTAGGCGATATTACTTCTAATCATGGTTCAGTGGATTTGCTGCAGTCACATATATCAGCGTTACAACCAGCAGCTGCATTGGAAAGTGTACATATACCAGTTAATTCATATTATACAGTATTGGCGCCTTCTTCGAAGTATAGCGTTGTTTCACCAACACTTTTAGCTGCTGTACCCCACGCTCAAGCCCTTGGAAATACTTTACCGATATCACTAAGCTCAACATTTTTATCACATCGTATTAAAAACTCTTCATAAATATATTTAAATGTAAATAATGGAAAGAGCAAGAGAGGGAAAAAGAAAGAGAGAGATAGTATAAGAGCAAGAAAGAGTAAGAAAGACAGAAAGCGAGAGAAGGATAGAGAGAATGAGAGAAGTATAAACTAAAATGGCAGAGATAATATATACTTTAACTAATATGTAATTTAAGTGGAATTGTGCAAAGAATTAAATGGCGAAACTTAGTTTTAGTTTTTTCACGATACTCGTTTAACTTTTTCATTCGATTTTAAATCAACATTGAATTTATTATTAATAAATGCATTGCAAAAATGAAAAAAAAAATTTAAATAAGTATTTTGTTTATTTTCGACATATTAGGTAATATATATAAAACGTTCAGTGTAACCTTCATACATCAGTTTGGCTTAAGTGGGTGTTGCTTCACCCCGAAAATTGTTTTTCTATTTCATGAAAAGTGCTATAAAATACAGCTCTGAAATTATAAACTGCTTTAAATTTAAAACTTATTTTTACTAATATTTTGCTGTATTAACTTGAAGTATCGATATAAACGTGTCTGTCGCAAACTATATCCTTATAAGGTCAAATTTATGGTGCCATCACATGCAACAGTAACAGTGTTATTTAGCGTGGGTACCTGCCATTAAAGCCTAAGACCACGATGCTCAATAAATAAATGTATCAAGATAATGCGCCGATTAATGCCCTATTGGAAATTGTAATGAATTTCCGCCGGCATCAATGAAGTTGTGTGTTTTGGACATAACTTTCTCCTAGGACTTAATTAAACCTTGTACTTTCACTAGTCTCTGAAAGTCAAAGATTAATGAAAACGGTAGATTAATATACCGCTCTAAGGTGAGCTAAAACTGAGCCGTCAACCGGGAAAAAGTTTTAATAATTTTTTTTTTTTTGACAGTAGGTGGAAGCATCGAAAGTCACCGTGTGAGACTTGAACCCACTAAACCACCTCTTAGGAATAAATGGAGAAGATTTCCACAGCATTGTAAAAACTTCATTGCAGTAATCAGAGGAGAGAGGAGAAAAATAGACTTAGTACCTAGCGAGCTAGATTTATCTAAGCTAGAAAGCAAGGGTGTACATTAGGAAAATTGGGTTATGAAGAAGGGGGTGGGGTTAGAGCAGATGAGCGGGGGCGAGGTTAGCGGCAAACTTTGTGACTGGGGTCACGAAAGCCGCGGTTATATAGGGGAATGGAGTGGAGGTTACGGTCCCACTCATTGAGGTAGTGGGACAGGTATTGGGGAGGTTTAAAGCGCAAGGCTAGAACAAGATCTTCAGAAAGGGTTATAGGAACAGAAACGTCAGGGGGGAGGTCGTGGAGCCGGGTGAGGTACCTACGAGCGAGTGCCAAAAAGTACTCGTCAATGCGAGTGATATTGGCATTGTCGTAAAGTGCTTCCCGTTAGGCTTGCGCCTATAGTTAGTGCAATCTTGAAGAAGTTTCCGCTCAAACAGGCTTATTCTTTCCATTTGGGCGGAAGAGATTGCAGACCAAATGGGGAAGGCGTAGGTGAGTAGATGGCGAATAATTTGCTTATAGCAGAGCAGCTTAACTTTGCAGCTAAGCTGGTTGTGTCTTCGGAGTGTATCTCGAGGAAGGTTATAGAATAATTGAAGGATACTGCACTGGCTCAAACTCCATTTTTCAGCATAGATAAAAGTGAATGGATTAAGTTTTGAATTCATTGACCATTCGTCTTATTCACTAAATCTAACTCCGTTGACTATTTCTTGTTTTAAAAGTAGAATATACGACTGGGAGTATTAAAATAACCATCAAAAGAAGTGGTGATATCTGTTAAATTTATTTTGAAGTTTAATCAACATTTGATACAGTTTATGAAATTAAGTAAAGATTACCTTATAAAATATACAAAAAAAACTTCAAAACGTTTCTTTCTATATTAGGTTCAAAAAAATAATGCAGTTTGAAACGTTTTATTGTAAAATAAAATAAAATATATCGTCATATAATCCGAAAGGATAGGCTAATAAATGAATTCTTGGGTAATAATATGAGTAGTTATTCCAAATCTTGGAAGAATCAAACTATATACTTCTGGATCAAATTCAAAATAAATATTAATATAAATATATATTAATAAGTATTTATTATAATTTGAAAGGACGTGTAATAATCTTACTAAAATTTCTGAGTAGTAATAAAAACCAAAGTTTTATAGAATAGACTATATCTTCATTTAAAAATATCAACTTTTGTTTATTTAAAATCCTCTTTATTTATTTTTTTTGTTAACAAGTTTAAGTATTTTTATATCAAAGAATAGAAAACAGTATCCATTTCTAAAAAACTGGCAAATAATTACGATTTAAAGCTGGTACCACAGGATAATTGTAAAAATAGTGATAACCATTGCTTGGCAATATTTGGGGTTGGTAACTCTGTACAATAAATGGTTGCGATTTTACAAAAACTTTTGTAGCACTTTGTTTCTCTCGTAATAATTTATGTCGTAGCTTCTCTTCTTCGTAGCGACTGAAGAAGTCGAGCTTGGCAGCAGTGACCTCAGGAGTATCCTGCACTGGAAGAGGTAGTCCGGATTTGCTTATGAGACTCGCACTTTGTTGTTTGGTTAAAGCAATTTCCTGTGAAGCAGTTTTTGCTAAACTTAATTCCACAGCTTTGTACGCTGCCAAATGTTGAGCACGTGCAGCAGCCACCTCAGGTGTATCTTCTACTGGTTTAAGTGCCTTGGTTGCTGGTATAGGTACTGGCTGTGGCAAATTTGTGGCAGCTACGCGAAAGCCATCGGCATCGGCTATATAGTTGACAGTTTGCAATTTACCAGCTGCATCGGTGTAACTGTAGGTACCACGTGTGACACCATCCAAGGTGCGTACTTCTTGTTTGGTGGACAAGGGTTCTGTGTAGCCATAAGAATATTGCCCAAGTGTATCTTGTGTATGGTATTGCTGTGTATTAACATTGGTCGTTGTTAATATTAAAGGCGTTCTTACAGCTGGCTTAGGATAGTAATATCCACTATCGGCTGCGTATGCTACTGTTATGAGTGCTGATAAATAAATTAAAAATTGCATTTTATTTAATTTTACTGAATTGATTTTTTGATTTTTTGATTTTATGATTTTATGATATGAGTTTTCGTTTGGACGCTGCTAGTGACTTCTACACCAGTACTCGTACCAGAGAGTTCTGTTGTTTCATTCTGCAATTGTTCTGGCTTTTATATACGATTCCAATTGGTTTAAGGATTTCATGCGCGAATAAGTTGCCAATTGCATGGAATTCATAAAATGATCGTCCTCAAGAAGGTCGTCCAGTTTACTTTCATACACACGTTTCGCATAAAGTTTTCTTTTTCTTTTAGTTGTCGTTTTCTTTTTCTCTACGGATCCATCCTCGGTCTTTCTTCACTAAGCATAAAGCCAAGTCTCTTTAACTGCTAGCCGTTGGCTGCTTCCTCGCCTGATCTCACGACGTCGCACGTGAGCAACATCTTTTTTTGGTAACGATGTTGTTTTCAACATGTTAACATAAATTAAATCCATATTTAATACAACTACAACAACTACGATAAATGCAACAAATGCAACAAATACAACAACAATGACCATACAAGTCGCACAGTTTGTTGTCAATTTGTCAGTTGAATTTACGAATTAAAACTCAATTTTGTTGAGCTTAAAGAGTTAATTTGCCTAGAGCTTGGTGGAATTTTTGGGCCTTATTTATTGATTTAATTTAATGAACACAAATTCAATAAGTCTCCTCTTACTTATTTTGTTAATAAAAAAAATTTGTTGTAATAGAAATAATATAGGATATTCTTGTTTCCTAAGGAAACAAGAATAATGTTTGGCTATTTCCCCAAACAACTGATTTTCATACGATTAATATAATAACAAATAGGTTTTATAGTTCCAATTCGAATGTATAAAACGTTTTTTCGAAAAATGTTATAACTTTAAAATATAAAGTTGCAACTAGTAATTATTTTTTTAAGGAATTATAGGATTTAATTAATTAAGATAATTATCTGGAAATTATTGTCCTTTTCTAAGGAAATATAAAGGGAAACCCACCATTGGGAAAAACATATATATTTTCTCTGACAGCAAATCAGCACTCCTAGCACTTCGCTTATCTTGAGTGACTTCAAAACTACTGTGGGAATGCCTTCAACTTCTCAAAGATGTTGCTGAAATTAACGAGGTTCACTTAATATGGATCCCAAGACACAGCGAATTTGAGAAAAACGAGAAAGCCGGTGAAATAGCCAGCAAAGGGGCGGCCTGATATTATATTGGGTCAAAACTATTCTACGGTCCATCATAAGCTTTTTCAAACTCAAAATTAACAAATGGCTGCAAAAAGCAGTTCTGACTGATTGGGATGATGACAAACAGTTTAGTGAACTGAACTTCCATCTGTGAATCAAGATTGAAACAAAATGAAATATGGCCATTCTTTGAGCCATAATAATAGGTAATGAAAAGTGAATCATAATAATGGTGATAATGGTGAATGAGAAGTTATTAATTGAAAACGGTGTAAAATGGCTGTAATGGTGTAAGTAATACTGTGTTTTTTCTTGTAATATTATAATAATATCATCTATTATAAGCGTCTACTGTCACATGATTGGATATCAGCCAAAATTTTTACTAAATAGACTTATTGTTTGAAGACAAATTTTAAAAATAATATGTATATATGTACATAAAATAAAAGTTGCTCCTTTAAAACAATCTGAATATTTTTCACTAATCAATATTTCAGTTTTGAAGTCCTCGCATTTCCTATGAATACCGAATAATCATTTTTTAATTTTACCTTAAAATTTTTAGAATGGGAACATTTTTTTTTGTTTCGAGGCTGGGAAACAAAATGTCTACACATACCCGCAGAAACGTCTCTCTGTGGGTTTGCGCTAATCGCTGACATGCCAAAACAACTCCTCTTTCCAGGATGAAGTATATGACCCGGAACCATCACTAGGTATTGCTTTAGGTCATGCTGTTGTATCTGCATCCAGGCGCCTCTTTTTTGCATGGAGTACTACCTCCACGTGCCTCGCCCTCACAAAGCAGTTGTATTCACTTGCCAGTAGTAAAGGTAACAATTGGAACATTTCATGTTTTTGTGGATTACTAAACTAAGAAAAGTGTTCAAATATTAAAATCTGACATAATTTGAATCGATTTATATTTCGAGTACTCTCTTCTGATCGACATAGTATATATGCAAATATTCAACTTTTAAATACAATAATACATATATAGCAAGCAGATAGTAGTGGCTGTTAGTAAAAACTTTATCAGAACAGTTGCCATTATTACTTCTGTTTTACGATGTTACTTTTGAAGAAGAGATGAAATTTGTTCACTTCGTAGGTATATTCGCCTATTAGAAGTGTCTACTTCTGAAATATGTTATTCTTACAATATTACACTATCTCACCTTAACGAAATCAATATACAATTAATATCAATAATTGAAAAATGTTAACAATTATATAGAAAATGATTTTATGTAGGTTAAAATATAGTTCAAAATTATATATCAATATACGTTATAACTAACGTCCTTTGTTATTTAGAACATAATTTCAAAGTCAATATTGTTTCAATAAAAGTCAATATTGTTTATCAAACAGATAATAAAACTAATAATTTATTAAACATATATATATCATTTTGTACATTTACGTTCGCTGACAACTACACTTGAACCAGATTTAAAAGAAGTGTATATATAGTCCATAGATATTCTAATATTCTATATCAACATCGTTACAAATCGTTTATTGTTTTCAGATTCAAATACTAAATTTTATATAGATGATTTAATTTAAACAAATTGAGAAGTATAAGTAGTAACTTTGTAAAATGTAGTAGCTTTATGTAATTTTTTTAAACTTATATATAAATGTATATAATACATTTATATAATAATAAATGTATATAATAATGATGAATAAAATGTATTATTTTGCACAATTACGCTCATAGTCAAGTACTACGGAAGCGGACTTAAAGGAAGTGAATATTGAATTCACACATAGTTCAAAATTATATATCAATATAGAAACAAATTCTTTGTCGTGTTAAGATTCAAATGCCCAAATGGTTATAAGTCAACAAATTAAGAAATTATACTTATATTTAGCATTAAATTAGATCTATGTAATATATAGAAACTTAGTGATAAAAACTATGTTTCTACCTTTGGGTTCAGAAGGTAAATACCTATTGAATTTGATTCTTGAATTCTTGATAGTGAATATAAAACACTAAAAACTTTAAAAGGATAACTACCATTTTTCTCATAAAAGCAAAAATATTAATATGTGTAATTTCAGAATATAGAAACATAGACAGCAGATTATAAAACACAAATGAAGTTCTCCAGAATAATACAGAATGCTCCATTTAGGTTAGTTCTTAGTTCTTAGCTCTTTTACTCTTAGTGTGAACAGGAGTCCGACATTTTTCGTTTATTTGCATGGAGTAATTGTAATTGTATAATCAATTGTTTTTCTTCATGTTTTTAATAAGGGTCTTAGTGGACAACTCTCGTGTGGACTGTATTTGAAAGTTTCCTTGGCAATGTATAAGTTTTATTTTTCTTTGTAAATATTAACTTGACTACTAGTAGAGGATAAAGAAAATAATTGCCTACACCTTATACTAACACGTATTTTTTTATTACGTATTGATAACATTCTATTGAACTCGTATTCCATAAAAAAATAGATCAATACAAAATATTATGCACTGCGATTTTAGTGTTTTTATAACGAAGGTTAATATTTGAATCTCAAAGACATTGGAAGAATTTAGTAGTGCAAATAGTAGAACATTCAAAAAATTGGGTACATTGACTGAGCCATAATTGAAAAAGGCAAAACTTATAGAGACAATTGGTAAGGTAATGGTTTCTATCTTTTGGATTGCATGAGTATTAAAATTCATATTTCTTTTTTTTTTTGTTAAGTAATTGAACAATAGTGAGCAGTCTTAAAGATTACTTTAGGTCAAGAAAAAGTTTTATTTTAATCACAATTGTAAAATTAATTTTCTTTTACGAGGACTATTGTAAAAATCCAATCCAATATAGTCATCTGATATAGCGCTTTGCTAATGATTAAGGCTTACCAAATACCAGTAGCAAATCGATCGTATAGTCACTTATTATATTGGTTGAACAACCAATATTCTTGGTTTAAGAAATTTGGAAAATACTTGGATTAAATCCATCATTAAGAATTAATATTATATTGAATAACAGAAGCGAATTTTTACAAATGCCTGATTCGTACTACTGAAATCTAAAAATTACAGATATTTATTTTATTTACGAATAGATCAATACATTTTATTGTGAAAAATATTACACATATTTATAATGAGAATATATTATTCCAAAATATTATGTATTAATTTTTTTTACCTTGTTGATGCTTTAAATATATATCTTAGATATCGTCAAGCTTGGATTTAAACAAAACTATAGCCGTAAAAGCGTGGTAGAATGGCGACGGGCAAACTTGTTGGTATGAATGTTGATGCGGTATATAATTTAGAATGGCTTAATAAAGCGTTACGCTCCTTTTCATATTCGATACGCTTTAAATGCTCTAACTTGGCCAAGGCCACCTCGGGGGTATCTGCCACGGTGTTAGACAATTCCAAATTGCTGTCATTTGCGTCCATTCCGGTGGACTTGAGACTATTGGTGATAGGTTCTGCCATGTACAACCCAGCCTGTTGATTACCTGCCAAGTGAACTGCACGGGCTGAGGCAACTGCGACATTGTCGGTAGCTGGAATAGTGTCGGTAATTGGAACATTGTCGGCAACTGGAACATTGTTGGTAACTGGAATGTGCGCACTTTGGCGACGAAAATTAGGCACGTTCACAGCTTTCGGTAAATTCGTAGCAGCTACATGAAATCCATCAGCATCAGCAGTATACTGAACTGTCTGTAATTTACCTTCAGCATCAATGTAACTATATGCGCCTCTAGTGACACCATCCAAGGAACGCACTTCCTGTTTAGCTGATAATGGTTCCCTGTAACCGAATGAGTACTGTCCAAGATCGTCCTGTGAATGATACTGCTGTTGTGTGGGTGTTACTAATCCAGAGCTGTGAGCGCTGTATATTACAGGATATGAACGTTGTGCAGGTGCATAGTAGGCTAAACTTGCTGCTGAAGTAGCTGCCACCAATGTCAAAATTCCAACGAAGGTTTTCATTTTTTGCAAATTTTATTTAAAGAATTTAAAGCGCTGCTAGCGTACCGAACTAGTACTCGCCTTAGAAAATTCTGTTGCCGTTGGTCAACTCGTTTGGTCCTTTTATACTCGATCTCTTCTCAGAATGCGATTCTGTCTTTTTCTTCTGTGTGGCAAGTATCGCATACAGAAGAGATTACGTTGTGTTCGCTTGTGTTCTTATAATTTATTCACTTTAACTTTTACGTTTTCGTTTCATTGGATAATTTGAAATTGTACTTTAAGAAGAATCAGAACCAAACCCGTCTGTACATAAAATCTGCAGGCGGCTTGCGTGTCTTGCGAATATAAAGTCAATGAAAGTGTTGCCGGTGATGTTGCACGCAAGAATCTCCTGTCTTATGTTGCACACATCAATTTTTTTAAATTTTATTTGATTTAGACCTTGGCTAAGTGTAGGGAATGTAGTTCGATTATTAAAGACAGAAATAAGACATTTGAGTCAATTAATGTGTCGTGTGCTTAACTCTAGAATAATACGAACGCCACATGCCATTCCATGTAATTCATATGCTATTAGTGATAAGTAATAAAGGCGTTAGTATACAAAAACTGTAGTTAAACTGAGAACACAAATTGCTTTGGTGTATATAGATACATATATACAAGATATATAGAAGTGTTTATCTTGCACTACTTTTAAATTTTTTTTAAATAAAATTAAATAAATGAATTATTACTATAATGTCTACAAAACATTTCAGCTATAAAAAATAATACTATAAATACTTCCATTTGTGGAAAGGAAGGAGTAGGATTTTTAAAATATTAATTATGATAATGTTAGTTTCTCTGTCTTTGTAAAGTCACTTATACGAGTGGATATATAACCAAATTGCAGAAATAGAAGACAGTAAAGTGAAGTAATAGTCATGGAAAATATCATAAAGATAGTTTTTGTCACACCGATGCGGTCGGAACGTTTCTATGAAACAGGACATAGTATGCTCCTTTCTCTTATAAAAATAAAGGAGAACTAACACAAAAAGTATTACTGGGATAATATACCAGAATTAACACAATCCAAATCAATCCAAACAATAAGAGATACCAGATACCTTTGCTTTTGCGTATAAACCACAGATTGACTTAATACAATTATTTAATTTTTAAAGGATACATGAATAGCCGAGTACTAAATTTTTAATACTGGTATTTACTGTTTGCACTACGAAACCGGATTTGAAGGAAGTGAACATTTAATTCACATATATTTCAACATTTTATATTAACATTACAACCAATAGATCATCACTTACTAATTCTTATAACTCATTTTTATATAGATAATTATATTTAAACAAATTGAGAATTATAAGTAGTTATATTAAGTAAAAATAATGTAATGTTTCGTAACTTCACATAACTTTTCTAGACGTATATAATATATACGTATATACAATAAATATGTATATATAATATAGTATGTATATAGTTGTATATAAATGTATATAATATAGTTTTGATAAATGATATATGTTATTTGGCAAAATGGCGTTCGCAGACAACTATTTCAGAACCAGGTTCAGAACCTTATTTTATATTTCATATTAATGTATATAATATAGAATGAGAATATTACGTATTATCTTTCAAAATAGTGTTCGCAAACAAATACTCCAGAACCAGATTTAAAGGAAGTGTACGTGTACTTTACATATCAGATTTTATATTAAAACATCGCAACAAATTGCTTATCGTTTTGAGATTCAAATGCCTAACTTATATATAGATTATTATATTTAAACAAATTGAGAAGTATAAGTAGTAACATTAATATTAATTTTATTAATATAAATATGTTTTCTTATTAAGTTAGGAATACAAATAACGATACAGTGTTCCAAAACGTAATTTAGCCAATCAAAATTCTGTATTTTCTGAACCATTAGGGAAATGATATTGAAATGAAATTTTCCTTAAACATAGTTTTTGAGATGGTCTTCCTTTTGCATCTAATTCGGCTAATTGAAACCTCCAAATTTGGACCAAAAATGGACTATTTTAACATTTTTTTACTTACCTAGTTTATTTACAGGTTTATCCAATTTTAACAAATTGCGATTTCGTAAAAATTGGGCGAACTATAAACCCTTAGGTATAATTTCTTTTTTATACTTATTGAAAAATAATCATTTTTGATTTTTTTTTAAAGCTTAGGATTTCGTATTATCAATAAAACCTCTCTTGAAATGAATTTTTATATCAAAAAAATCGTGTGCCATGGATAGGAAAAGATGATAATCACTTGGTTTCAGGTTTGAACTATAAGGTGCATAATATGCATAAGAACTTACCAAGGGGAGCAGCCAAACTCACCAAACACACATCATAAGTTTTTTTATTACGAAATCTCATCTCTCTAATGCCATCTGGTGTAACTAGATCGGATTTATACAATTCGGGATACAGATAATTAAAGCCATATATTAGGAAAATAATGGATTTCTTTTTACTACACCTAATAGGTTGCACTTTGATTATAATTTGATTTGTGACTATCCATACTCCTATAAGAGATTAGGATTTCTACAAATAGCTTCCAATTATTTTTGTTCCTAACTGTTAGTCTTAGTTTTTTTAATGATCTACTGCAGAGTTTAAGTTTTAGTCTGACGAGAACTCTCCCTGCACGTTTGCTGTCTGTCTAGCGTTTCCAAAATTAGAACAATATTGTAAAAAAAATATATATTATTTAGAGAAAAATTAATATAAAATATATATATAGTCCTTTTAAAGGACTCCTTTATCACTCATTCTTTTCTGAATTAATGTTTTCTTTATCCAGATATAATATTGAAAATGGTTTATGGGACTTTGTATGTAGCAAATTTCTTTTATTTTGTGTTATTTCAACGGCACTTTTTTATCTTGTAGTCTTCTTTCTTTCCGGTACTGTTACCTTTTTCTTTTTTACTGCTTCTATTGCATCGATTGCTCTTGTATTATACATAAAATTTATTTGCGTATGATGATATGAATTTTAGGAAGTGCTAAGAATCTTATTATGTATAATAATTTAATTTCTTATTAATTTAATTAATTAATATTAAATAACATAATTTTTTTTATTAATTATTAAGAAATAGGTTGTATTTCTCCTTCTGAGAGATGTAGAAATACATATACAATATGTCCAGGGAAGAATGGACAAGTAATTAGACAAATAGAATATTTGTCTATATCTAATATATTAACCTGAACTTTACCACATTTTATATGGTATACTAAATTATCTAAATAAAAATTATTGAGCGTATTTGACTTCGTCCTTTTTTTAATTTAAGATAAAAGATTACTTCCATGTATTTTTCTTATGAATTTATAATTGATTATTAACCATATATACTATTTTTAGGATTATTATTCTGATATTTTTATTATTCCAACGATTTGCAAGAATCTGAAATTATTTTTCAATGTATGCGGAAATTCCTTTCACCAAACACAATTGAAATATTATCGTAGGTCATTGAAGAAACTCTTGACAATTTCTGTTATTCGCTTTGCGCGTCTTTCGGTAACGGCTTGACGGCCTGTCCAATAAAACGTAAGCCGTTTAACCGTTGTCCGTTTGTTGTATATGCCAAAAATAAAAACATTTCAAGGTAAGTGAAGGCCAAGGGCCACATTTGGCATGGATCTTAACGTACAACATCATCAACATTAAAAATAGCCTACAAGATGCAATGGAGAAGATGTAATTGTGATACTTGCCGCTGTCTTACAATGAATGCAGAGTGTCTGCTCGCTGTGGCAGATATGCTAAGAGATTACGGTGCGGAGAGGTGCTCATTTTGAGGTGCAATGTTGTTGATTATTGTTGATGGTCTGCACATTAATTGAATACAGAATTGCACAATGTTGCAGACATTACCATAACAAAGCGCGCGTATCTGTTGGTATGGGAATTCCAAAGAAATTAGCAAAAAACGTGGAGTTGCAGCAAAGCTTATAGTTCTATGTTGCAAGAGTTCTGGAGCTTCTCATGTGCCGATCGTGTATCAGAAGTGCATTCTTATGTTGTCTTACAATTGTAATGCAACATACCAACGTTGCTTGAGTATGTTGTTAGGGTTTAATTGCAGTATTTGTGTTGAGGCTGTATGTTTTACTTTAGGTTGATGGCGCATACGAAAAGATTGTCTACTTTATAGTTATTGTTTTGCCGGTAGCACTTTTTTGTAGATAGATTTTTTTCCACATTCTTATATATGTGAAAATTATAGCCTGCTGTAGGTCCAACACAATTAAGTGGTTCTTAATTTATATATTTGTAGGGGATATAAATTTTGAAGGGGAATACCATATATTGTTTTCGTGTTGTGTCGGCTTTAATTAGTTTTACAGCAGCTTTAAGATACATTCAGTGTAATTTTAGTAGTTGGCAGTCTAGGAGATTTTGAAACTTTGTATTTAATTATAAAAGTTAATTAAAATAAATTGTTGTCAAAGGCTAGGAAAGTAAGTGAAAACAGAGATTACTTTAAAAAACTAGAATTGGAGATTAATTAAAGTAACATAAAGCATTGTTGAAATATTTTAAACTGCTAGAAACATTAAATCAACAGACAAAAAAAAGAACAAAAAATTACGATAAGAATAATCTAGAATAAGAAGAAAGATTTTTTATATGGAAAATTTATTAATGATAGTACGATCCTCAGATTTAGGTAAATACGTAGATGTCAGAAAAGAAAAAAATGTTTTCTATAGAAAATTTTCCATAAAACACTACTAATGTTATAATTCTGTGAAGAAAAGAAACGCAAAAAAAATAAAAGAAAAAAAACGAACAGAGAAGAAAAGAATAGAAGAGAAAAAAAAATTGAAGAAAAGAAATGAAATAAAAAAATAAACAAAAAAAAAAGAAATAAAGAAGTAAATAAAGTTTTAAAAGGAAATAATCTAAAGAAACTACTGGAGAGTCTTAATCACACCTATAAGCTACTGATAAATGCTTTGTTAAATTATTTAAAAGGATTCCACAAATTTTCATGTGTCAGACCCCATCTC